AAAACCTTGCCATCTATAAAAGAATCTCAATACAGCTTGACTGTTCCAAGAATAGCTGAAAAAGAATCAAGATTTTTAGACAAAATCCAGGTGTATTCAAAGGTAAATGGTAAAACACTGATGCTTTCTGGTCTCTATGCTTCATTTTATTAATTTTCTTCATCCTTATTAAGAATGTGTGTGTACGCTGTATACAATTTTTTGGAAAAACTGGGCTCTTGTTACTTTCAGAAACCTTGGTTTTTGAAATGATTTCAGAAATTATGTTTTGGCTGCTAAAAGTATCAGTATCTTTGAATTGAGAAACTGTTTCTCAAAGTGTTTCTTGAGCTGTTACTTCTGGAAATGACATTGAATAAACCTTATTGCTGGTGTGTGAGAAAAAAAGAGATAGTTGGAAATAGTTATGAAGTATAGATTGAGACAGTATAACCAAGGCTGGAGAATAGATTACAACATATCTGTGTTTTGTGTCTCACTCTTGCTGGTGCCAAAGATTCTCAAGGTCACACACATACACACACACTCTCTCTCTCTCTCTCTCTCTCTCTCTCTCATATACATACTCTTCTATTTTCTATTTTCCTCTTCTGAGCTCTTCAGTTTCCAGCTTTCTCTATCACCTATTTTTCCTTTTAGGAGTAATCCATATTGGTCAATCCTTATTAATCAGGCAATGTTTCTCAACTCAAATAACTCATGTCGCAGAATTTCCCTATATTGTTCTGCTGTGACTTGACCATTCCTTGCTAGTAAATTAATAACTCAAATAGTGGCGGGTTGGAGATCATGGATGAAGAAAGTACTTCAGGAAACTTAAGTCTAATTTGGTAAATTGCTACTGCTAAGATATAATTAGTATGCCTGGTGCCTGGTTTGCTACCAGATGGGAAAATCAGCCACATTTTTCCATTTATTATCAACATGACAGTCATGGGTGACAGATATTCTTCCATTGTTAAAACTGAAAATCTGAGACAAACCCTCTGAGTAGATCAAATAGTGCCTAGCTAATTCTTGAAAAGGTTTGTGTAAATTGTGAACTGCTATGGCTTTGATATTATATTTAATGTTGGGATGACCATAATTTCCTAAAGTTGAGATAGAAATAGAAATTGTCCTTTAATGTCCAATCAAACTGAACAACGCTTAGATTGTGATTGTTTTTCCATTTAAGTACTGTTTTTTAATGCTTTTACACATTTTTTCATACATAATAGAGCTGTTTTGAATTCCATTTTGTTTCCAATATTATTTTCCTTCTTTCTGAATATCATTCTCTAAACCACTGTTTCCATCTCTAATGTTCTTTTCCTTACTCTAATTTCCAAATTCAAGTATTCTTCCTTCACTTAAACATAATTTTGGCTAAATGTGGAACCCCCCACCCCCACCCCCACCCCAAGGTAAAGAGAAAAGGAAGGAAGAAAGAAAAGAGGAAAATGTAATCATTGTTGCAGGTAATAAGTTCAGTTGTGATCTGTCAATATTTTAGCTAATGAACAATAGGCTCTATTTTCATCTATGATTACCATGTATGTACAATAAAGAATATATTTCATTGTCATTCTAATTTTTTATAGGTAAGACTCCTTCCTAGGTATATGGAATAAAAAATATACATAAAAAGACAATTATGGATGCTAAATTTGCTACATTTCTCCAATTATTATTAACTGAAATTTGCATGTTTCTTTAATGTATTTTTCCCTTATTAATGGATTAATTCCTTGTTAATGTAATTATAGCAAATGATCGTAACATAATTTGGTCGATTTTGATAATGATCGCCTTAGCCTCTTCTTAGATCGTGAAAATGAGCCTTCATTATAGAGAAAAGGACAAAGGACATATGATTTCCTATATCCAATGTGTGAGTCAAATATTTACCTCAGTAAAATTCTTCTAGTCCTGGAATCAAGTAATCACAATTTTACAATAAAGTTCTGACAGATCAAATGTACTTTTCAAGTTAAATGCTGAATACACACATTAGTCATTCAAACTATATTAAAGGTATCACAAATATTTTGTTTTTGAAATGAAAACAAAAATTCAACAGCAAATTGAAACATGTAAATATGAAATATCAAATTAATAAATTCTTATATGTAGTGGGTACAATGATGGCCCCCAAAAGATATGTCCATGTAAAATCTCTAGAAACTGTCAATATTACCTTATGTAGAAAAAAGATATTGAGATACACATTTCTTGTGATAATAGAAATAACTACATAGCACACCCGCACCCCTGTAAAATCAACTAATAAAACTTACACAGAAGAGTGACAGTATGAAAAGTTCATTTCATGCATTTCACATAATGTTATTAGAGTCCAGTGGATTAAGTGATCTAAATCTTCCATTAGAGCTGACATCCAAACATAAAAGTTAGTAATTTACCTCTACTTTGTAAACTTGGTCCACAATCAGCCCAAAGGCCCTAAGGTGAAAAAGAGATGACATGTTCCAACAACTGAAAGCAAATAACAAAAAACTCATGTATTTGGAGTATACAGCAAGGGGAACAAAGTAGAGAAGAGGCTGAAAATATGGGCTGTAACCAAACCATGCAGGTCTAGGCTGCTGTAGTTCTGCAGAGGAGATAACAGTGGCCTATACAAAGTTAGGGAAGCAGATCATGAGCTACCTTGGGATACAGTCTCTATCTCGTTTTTTTATACCCTCAAATCCTAACAATGTTCTTGGACATAGTTGACACTGCTACATAGTCTGAATGAGCAAATTAATTTTACAAATAAGATTTCAGGGTGTTTAAAATTACTTGACAGCAATTTGCTTTTGAGCATACTCAAATACTATTTGGTGCTGATTCTTTCTACTACATACTAAGTTATTTAGGACCCGTTTACTGTTATATCTTGGCAAGCAGTAGTAAATGCTAAAGAAATAATGGCAAATGAACAAATAAAACATCCAATTATTTTTCAGTGGAATATTGGGTACTCCTTTGGTAATAACTAGAGAGGGTGGGACCAGGTCTGAACTAACTCAGGTTATATCATATACTATACAACTGGTATGGTTAGTACTGACTTCAGTGAAATGGTCTGTGTGCCAACAATCTCATTCTTTATAAAATGTCTTTTGGCTGTTAGGACAGATTTTCCCTGGCCTGTTCTTTATGCATGGCCTCACATTACAGCTCCACCAAACTTAGGATATCTGCTGCCTACATCCCTAACTATGACACTAAAATTTCTTACAATTGACAAACTAATTACAATTACAAATACTCCCTCAAGCATTTTACTAGGTAATACTGCGTTATTCTAATTCTAGCAATTGTATGCACATCAATGAAATAAACTCACATTTTAATGTAATATGTAATTTATATTTTTATAATTAAAACTGTCTTTTAATTTGTTAAATTCAATATTTTATAATAATGCTATTACCTAGAGAAGACCCAAATTTCTATAGCACAGCCATAATTTTTCCTTTTGTCAGTGAAAGAAAATCAATTTCTTATAACTACAAAAGTATGGAATTCACAGAAAGAATTGTTATATTTGATATTCAGCAGTACTTAGACAACAAAATATATATATATATATTTTTTTACATTCATATAAGTTGCTGAGCCTCACTTCAGTTATAAACTGATCCAGGCTGTTGAATCATAGTCTCATAGTTAGTGTAAAGATTTTTTTTTTTAAAAGAAAAAGATATGTATATGATAGGAAGGTGTGTATGAATGTATATGCATAGACAAATGTATGCTTAAAGAAATACTTTAAATACTACACAACTGCAGTGTCTCAATATTATTGCATGAAACAGTCCTTTCCCAATACTCAGAAAATCCTATCCTTCTGAGGACGAAGATTTATTACAATTAAAATTGTTCATACAAGAGTACAACGTATTTACTTCTGTATATCTTGAGAATGATATTCAAGATTAGGTTCAAGCTTTAAGATAATAACAACAGTGTAAGCTTTAAGGTGGAACAAAAGACAAAAGGGGGGGGCGAGGGGGGACCCAGAAGTTCCCAGAGGTAGTTAGGCAAAAAAGGAAAGAGAATGGGAGAAATGACGGACTCAAAGAAAAAAGAATGAAGATTCAAGGATGGGTAAATCTCCTCTTTACTTAGCTTTTCAAAAGGTTTGCGATAACCAGCTTTTGTGTAAATGGATTTGATGGCTCTGGGCTGAAGGTGACTGACAGCTGAATCTAGGCCCCCTCGGGAGTGTCACCCTGGGGATTGCCATTGTTGCAGTTTCTTCAGACTGACCCAGAAGAATCATTATCTCAAGGGAACTCTAACAACAGCCACCCCCAAGCTGCCTAGGAGCTAGGAGTAAGCAAGTTAGACTCTCTTGAGCAGTAATTACAGCGGTAAGGCGAACAAGGGGTGTTACTGAGTTGAGCTTAAGTCTCTCTTCAACCCCCAATTAAAAAAAATAAATAAATAAGTATTCAAGTATCCAAAGATTTTTCCCAAGCAAAAATATCAGAGAGCTTTCTTCAGCCTTTGTTCGTTGGAAGAATAAATAGACCTCTGGGTCCTCCGCAGGAAGTGCTTAGCTGAAGAGGGTATTGTAGGTAAACGCTTCAGAGCCTTTCTTTTTTAGTAAAGCTAATGTGTTTACTTTGGGACTACTTCAGCCAAGTCCGGTTACTAGCAGGAGTCAGCAAAGAACCGGGTGGATAGCTTTAATACCATATAAAACAAATCCCTTTCACACCGTACTGTCACACTTGCAAGTTAACAGAGGTATCTGACCCATGTAGTCCCAACAGTGCTCTGCCCCCGAAGCCTGGTCCTGCCACTGCCCGAATCACACGCACTGCAGTTAGGGGCCTAGAAAGAAGGCAAGTGATTTTTCCTCCTCTAAACCTCTAAAAGCTCTCCACTATACCCTCAGGGTAGGAAAGGGGCAGCCAGAACCAGACTAGTTATGGAAAAATAAAAAAAGCTGATAAACCTAATAAGAGGTTATAACCACAGTTCACTTTTAATTCCTGTACCTCATCGGCTCCTGTCTCCACGAGTCCAGCCTCCATTATTTTTCCGGTAAGGGGCGGGACTTCCTGTCTCGGAGAGGAACCAATCAGAGAATGGAATGAGAGCCGCGGTCCATTTTCTAAGGTAATAGGACTCTTGGCCATGTTCTCGTTTGTCTGTATGCATCTCTAGGTTGAAGAAACAGATAAAATAATCGTTTCTGAAAATATATCTTAATCTCTGTTAATGAAAATGAGCAAGTTTTTAGTTGCCGTGACTTAAGGTATTTGGGGGAATAATCTTTATAGTGTTTTCTTTTTTTTTTTTTTTAACACAACAGGCCAGAGCTTTCCTTGTCCAACACACTTGGCTCTCCTCTCCTACTCTCAGTGCATGTATTTTTGTTTAGATTTTTCTACTCTTTTCTTCTCTTGCTCATATATTATTGTTTCTCCAGCAAAACACCATAGAAAGTAAGCTGCAGAAGGCCAGGCATTTAGCATAATGTCTAATATAGCAAGAGATCTGTATCAGTTTGTTAAATTTTGATCCCTGCTTTGAAATGCATCCTCTTAATTTCTTAAAATTAATTTTTTTTTTCCTTTTTGTCGAGTCCGGCAACGGATCACAACCCTCAGTGTCGCACCCGCACCTCACTCAGCCAGTGAGCGGGAACCGGTCTGTATGTGGGATCCGAACCCTCGGCGGGAGCGCCACTGCGCTCCCAAACGGCGCACTGTAGCAGTGCGCCACTGGGCTGGCCCTTAAAATTAATTTTTATTTTAACATTTACTTGTATATATTTGTGGGGTATGGTGTGTTGTTTCAATACATCCATATACTTCACAATGATTCACTTAGGGTAGACAGCATGGTTTTGTACCAGATAGTTCACCTCTTCTCCCCTCCCTTCCTCTTCTTTCCTCCCCTGCCCTCCTCCCCTTTCTTTCTCCCCTCCCCTCCTCACTTTCCCTTTTTTCCGCTCCTCTCTTAGCCTCTGGTAACCATTATTCTACTCTACTTCTATGAGAAACATTTTTCTTTTTTTTAAGATTCCACATATGAGTGATATCATGCAGTATTTGTCTTTCTGTGCCTGGCTTACTTCACTTAACATGATGCTTTCCAGTTCCATTTATATTGCTGCAAATGATAGGATTTCATTTTTGCTTATAGCTGAATAGTATTCCATTCTCTGTGTGTATATATATCAATCACAATTTTTTATCCATTAATCTACTGATGGGTAATTTTTTCTCTTTTTTTCTAGTAATCTGTTTTTCTGTTTTGGGTTTTTTGTTTGTTTGTTTGTTTTGGTTTTTATTATTGTTGTTAGATTGTCTTGGGATGTATTGGCCTTTGTGGTTTATTCTTATAAGAGGGTACTTCAGAGAGCTCATGAAGAGATTTTTATTCTCTTTTAATTCTATTCTTCCATGGATTTTGAAGTGCATTTGTATGTGGCTGTTTGCTTTTTCTTTTAGTCTTATAGTAGAACAAATTGAGGGAAGGTAGTGAAAGAAGGATTCTCGAACTTGGGGCTAGAATCTTGATTCTGTAATGTTCAAACCTGGCAAATTACTTAACATCTCTCACCTTCAGTGGGCTCACCTATAACTATTTTTTTAACAGGTTGGTTTGTGGGGATTTAATGAAATACCATGTATAAAAGTTTCTGGCACATAGAAAGTCTTCAGTAAACAATACCTTGGGCAAGAGAAAACATTTCTGATAGTAAAATGGTTTCAGAGTAACAAAGAAGCTTAAGAACCTAACTGGAAAATAAATATTCTCTGCTCCAGGTTCGCAAGTACCACTGATTTGGTTATGACTCTAGTGCTGTGGATTGATTGAATTGTGTCCTCCAAAGTGTATTAGAAACTTAATTCCCACTGTAACTGTTAAGGGTTGGAAATCCTATTATGGTAATTGAAAGGTGGGGCCTTGAAGAGGTGATTAGATTGTAGGACCATGTTGTAGTGAATGATTAATAATGGTGGTCAGGGGCATAGTTTGGAGGACTTTAAAAGGAGAGCATGTAAGAGTCTCTCTCTCTCTGCTCCACCATTTTCTACCTTGTGAGACCCCTGCACTGCTGTAAAGCCACCACCAAAGAAGACCCTCATCACATGTGTTCTCTGGACTTTGGACTTCCCAGCCTCCAAAACTGTAAGCAATAAATTTTGTTTTCTTAAAAATTATCCCATTCTGTGTATTTTATAATAAGCAACAGAAATGGGCTACTACCTCCAGAAGCACTACATAAGTAAGTATACTGTCCATTATCATCATTTGTAAAATGGGATAATAAATTTTACCCACTTTGCAAAGGCCCTGTGTACTTTAAATAAATAGCATAAAACATCATGGCTATAAAAAGTATCATATAAATGTCAACTTTTATTATTCTGTTTTATATGATAAAATGCATTTTAGACAATAGAATGAGTTGGTATGCAAAACATTATTGTGTTAATTAAACATAGGATTGTGTTAAATCATTAGGTTAATGTTCCCTGAACATTCTGTAGTCTTTATATTAAAGTTACTATTAACTAACACAGCTTGACAAATGCTTCCATTACTAGATGTGCGTGTGGTGCTATTTTCATGAAGAGAAATTATTAAAAATACACTTGTTAATAGGAATGGTATTCAGGAGCTTTTAACATAGCTGTTAGATCAGACCTGCTTGTGAATGTTTCACTGATGTCTGAAAATAATGACCACAATCAGGTCTAGCAAGAAATATCTGGGCCAGACAACCCCAAGAAGTTTGCAAATTCCAACTCAGTAGGAGATTGACCCATTCTTCAGAAAGATCATACTTCTGTAGAAGTCCTATTCTCCCCCCCCACCACCACCACAACACATATAACTGAGCTGAAGATAAAAGTTAAGATTTTAGTGTTGGAGGTTGAGGAAGAAAGAAGCATTTATGAAAAAGGGAAAGATGGCCTATTAACAACTGCCTATTGAGGAAATACAGTGTAGTGGTTAAATCAAACGTACTATAGATGGGCCTTGGAAATTATTATCATTGTTTAGCTGTTTTCTTGCCTTTGTGATCCTAGAAAGCTATTTACCCTGTTGCCATTATATACACACCTGTAAAAAGTGTGCAATAGGTATACTCTTAATTAAAAATAAATTGTTACTTAAAAAACAACAGGTAATAATTCCCATGTGTATAATATATGAAGAATTTAAATTCTTGATATCTCTCTCTTTCAGCTTACAATATGCCCACTAAAGAAAAAGTAGACTAGGTTTGGGCAAAAAGTGGGGGAGAGGTCACTGTCATCTCAGGGCATACCTTGACTGCATGAGTACTTCCCTCCTATTCTCCATCTATTAATTAATTAATTATTAATTAATTAATTAATTTGCTTCTTTCTGTTGGGGGAGGGCAATGCTAACATAAGACTCCCTGGTGAATCTTATCTTCACTGAGGTTCTTACCAAGTTAAGGTGTTAGAATTTTTGAGGAAAGCTCAGAATGAATAAAGGAGGGCCCTTCTCTCTTTTCTCCATCCCTGGGGAAGAAGAAGGCTAACTATATAATACTTATAAAAATTAGCCTTCAGTTTATGAGCATTTTTGAAGGACAAATAGAGCCAAAATATTATAGAGAAAAGGTCACTGGACGTGAAATCAGAAGACATTGCCGTCACATTTGGTCACATCACTTACTAGTGTGTGACCTTGGACAATTCATTTCTCATCTCCCAGACTCTCAAGTTTTTTGTCTTTACAGTGTGATAATATGTCCTTTTTATATCTCACAGAATTATTATAGAAATCAAATAAAATCATATGTATAGGAGAATACACACAGAGAGATATTAAATACATATGGAAAGTCACGGTGTGGTGGTTTTCATAATGTTTTGGTGGAAGTCAGTGAAGCTCCTGAGGAGTCTCGGAAGCCAGCCAGGCGGATCTGTTCTCCATCTCCAGGACAGCAGCTCTACTTTTATCTATTTTACATGCTGTTAACACATATGATTTTATTTAATTGATTTTAAAGGTTCTACTGCTAAGGGCAGAGTCTGAAACATACGTATGATAGATATGTTCTCTTTTATCATGATAATATGAACTGCAATGTGTTTCACAGTATGCAGAAAGCTTTGAAAACATCTAAGACATAGGTAAAGGTGTTATTGTGAGGTGGGGCAGGAGACCATATTTTCATACCTCTTAAACTTTTTGACTTTCCTTTACTAGTATGAATTTTTTAAGTTTACAGTCCTAAAGATTATTGATGACCCCCAAAGAGCTTATCTAGAAAATTCCGAAGAACACAGAATACACAGCACACATTGTATTAGTCACCAGAGTGATGATGTCATCACATGGTATGTAGCCTCTGGCAAGTCCACTGAACACTCATGAGAGGATGAAAGTGAAAAAACAACAATGTCTAAATATTATTATGAAAATAAGTCTGACCTCAAGAGGCCTCTGAAAGAGTCTTACAGTCCCCCCAGGGGACCTGAGACCAGACTTTGAGAACCACTAAACTATTATTTTGATGGAAACACTAAGGTACTGAATTAAACATTAAGTCAGGTGTGTATTTTTTTTTTCCATCTCTGCTTCAGGCTCAAAGGAAATTGGAATGAGGAATGAGATTTACTTCAAGGAGATTTCATAAAATATTTTTAGTAATATCTCTATTCTTTAAACCTGTGTTTTAAGATCCTTAAAAAAGTTATGTTGGGTTTCTTTCTTTGAAGCTTAACAACCAACCATTCCTCCCATGAAGGAAAAATCAACCACCAATTTCAGTTAAAATGGAATTTGGACCTCTCGTTTATCCATTGACAAAATGTTTTGATTTGTTTAGTATTCTCTATTTTTTTTTTTAAATTAAGAACTATGTATTCTGGAAAATGATTCTCCTGTCAATCAATAAAGTGACTTTTCTGAACAGTAGAGGCATAGGACATCATCACATGGATGCACACAACTGCCTTTAACAAAGTGGTTTCATTCTAATCACAGGATTACTATGAGCATTGTAGTACTTGATTTCTTTAAACAACTCACTATAGTGCTTAGTTAACATTTTA